ATTTAGTCAAATCTCTAATAATACCCCACATTTCTTATAGTGAGCTTGTGTACGGTAACTTGGATTCGGCCTCACTCAGCAAATTGCAACTGGCCTTAAACAACGCTGCCCGGTTCGTATTTTCTAAGAGAAAATTTGATCATATATCTTTATGCGCCACGCAAATTCTCGGAACCGATATATATAATTTCCTAAAACTTCGTAATCTTTGTTTTTTGTATAAGCTTATATATTTTCAGAAGCCACCCTACCTATATAAAAAACTGAATTTTTGTCAGTCTACCCGGACTTTGAATCTCCGGGTTCCGTATTTCAAGTACACGGCATCATCCAGAATGTTCTTTGTCAGCACAATTCGTTTATGGAACTCACTTCCTTCTAAGACAAGGGCTATTCGTAAGGCGGGGTGTTTCAAATTAGCAGTATTATCTTTTCTGAATTCATAACATCTCTTTCAAATTTCTTTCATTCTTTTCTCAACCTTCGGTCATAAGTTAATCTTATTATTATGTATAGTGTATAAGTATTTTTAATTTTATTTTCGTTTCGATTCGATTGATGTACTACCTAAAAGACTGTGTCTTACCTGTACAAATTAACTAAAGTAAATAAATAAATAAAAAATAAAAAACTTTTGGCGATTTCGTTTCTACAAAAATTCTTGCCTTTTCATCGCCCTCTTCTTAGACCGTTTGTGCGTAGAGAGCAAAGAGAAGGTTGCATTTTTCGGTAGAAACGAAATCGGCATTAGATTTGCACATAATTAGTGTTAAATTTTTGGAGCATTAATTAAAAGGAAAAATAAATACATAAATATTTCAAACTTTCGCACATAAATTTAAATTCAATTTTCATTAAATGCGATTAAAAGTAAAAGCTTTCAGGTAAAATAAATACTGTATTTTTTATCTTTTTTATTAATATTAAATATGCAAAAGAAGACATTTTAATTAAAAATAAAATTAATACTTAAGCTCATTTTCGAGTGAACTTAAGTAAAAATAAAACTTTTTATTACATTAACCCTTTCTTTTTAAAATTTTATAAAAGTAATAATTAAGGCCTAAAATTTGAAATTTGGATAAGAATCAAATAAATAAATAATTCATGCAGTTATTAAATATTCTTCATTTCTGTCTTTAGTTTGGCTTGTTGATTGATAATTGAAATTAATCAAATCTTATTACATTAAACGAGCAATTCTTGTATATATATATATAACCATAGGGTTCTCGGAAACAGCTCTTACGATTTTGATGCAAATTTGCACACAGATAATGTTTTAGATTTTAAGGTTATATGAATAGGCACTATCTCCGAGAAGACTCGTACAAGGTTGCCACCTATTCGAAATTAGTTACAAATTAATTAAAACTTCATAATATGGGTATCAAATGGAAGGTATTTTAAAGATACCTAATCCAAAAATACTTCTAATAGGGTTGCCACATATTTTTAAATAAATAATTTATATTTTTTTTTGTTTAGAAAGAAAGGTAAAATATTACTGTTCATGGGTACCAAGAGAATGTTCTTGAACAATACTTTCCCTATATGCAAAATGTTATAGGATAATAGTGTAAGGTTGCCACTTATTTTCGATTCTACGCAATTTATCTAAAACATCGCAATATGGATATCAACTGAAAGGTATTATTGAGAACTTTTGTCAAAAAATATTTTCCATCAGGGTTGCCACGCTTCTATGTAATAGAAATTTTTATTTTTTTAATTTCAATCAGCTTTTTTATACGTATACACAGTACATATACGCTCAAGCTACGTACCATTCATTCCAGCGTATTTCGGAATAGGGTCGCCACCTAAATTTCGGAGTAAGAAATTTGCTTAATAGATATCGAAGTCCATTTTTTATTTTTTATATATATTTTGTATTATATTTTATATATTTTTTTATAAGCCTTTCCAAATCTTGAAAACTTTAAAAAGTATATGCACTCCGGGCAAAGCTCGGTCAACCTGGTACCTGGATATTAATCGTGTTTTTCGCGTAATTAAAAAGAGTCAGAAATAATTGAAAAATTAATGAATTAATTAAAAATATTTAATAGATTATTAAATGTGCTAATATTGGCATTTAATCAATAAACGATTATCAAAAGAAACATGATTTAATTAATAATCATTACTTTTTTTCAATTCAATTCAATTCGTACTCGCTTTAAAGGTTTTGTGTAATTTATTGTATGTATTAAACTGTCGAAGACGAATAAAACCGGGCATAAATAAATCGTTTTGTATTTGGTACTGGTCAGGTCATTTTCGAACTTGTTCGGTTTCAGTCAGGAAATCCTAGTTGCAAACTAGTATTTTTCCTAACTTGTTTGGGGTTGCACTGCAGGGATATTGTGGAAATGGTCTTGGATTTGGATTCGCAGCTTTTATGCTTGCTACAATGGCAACAAATTGCATTTTATTATTGGGAATTTACAAATAAACCGAAATATGCAAATGCAAGATTATATACACAAGCTACTGAACAGCCCCAATATGTTTTATAACTCCGGTGTAAAAGCTGCGTTTTATTTTTGGTAATCAGTGGCGGATTTGCTCTTAGGCCCGGGCCTAGGGCGGCCACATATTAGGGGTGGCAAATACAGTAATCGTAATTTAAACTTTTTTTAAATTACAATTACTGTAACCATAATCTAAGTTCGTTCGATGAGTGATTACAATAATTTTAAATTTACAATTTTTCTTATTACAATTTTTTGAGTAATGTTAAACGAAGTAATTCTATAAATTTGCGAAATATATATGGATTTATCTAAATCCTTATAACAGAAAATACATGATTACAATTAAAGTAATCGTTCCTCGAACGAACTTGGATTACGATTACAGGATTACTGTAATCGTAATCTTGTTTTTTAGCTTGTTGGTATTACTGAATCCTAATCGTTTAGTAATCGTAATCCTTATCGCCCAGCTCTGGATAGGATGTAGTACGCAACTAATTGGAGCTGAGGAAGGGGCGGCTGGTGCCATTCGGACGGGCAAAACTGCAAATCTGCCACTACTGGTAAGGCACCCTAATGTACATATACGATATCGAGGAATAATGGTCGAATTATGATTAGTTTTAAATATTCAAAATGATTCCAAGTTAACATTTTTTTGTTGATTTTTTATAAATTTACTGTTCATGCTATAACCACCAACATGCTAATTAAAATTTCAAACTTTATACAAAATTCAGAAAAATGTTTCGAATTTCTATATTTAAAATTTCAAACTGAATTTTTAGAAAACTTTTGGGTACGCAGTTTATATGTATTCCATGAGTTTTTAATAATAGTGTAAGTTTGAAGCAGCTAAGAATTCGCTTTGATTTGCATACAATATTTTTTTTTTGCTGCCCGTAAATTTTTAATAAAGTTTGAAACTTCAATTAATATGTTTGTGTTATAACATGAACAGTATTGTTGTTAAAATTAATAAAACAATTTTAACTTGAATATTCAAAAATTACCTTCATTCGACCTTTTTGCGCATCACTGTATATTTATGTACTCATAAAAAATTGTTGTCGTTTCCAGCAAATTGTTGATTACAAATATAATATTGACCCATTTATTATTAGAAATTTTTACTAGAGTATTAGTATATACATACAGTTTTTAATAGCCATTTATCGTTACTACATAATCTCGACAGCTCCAGTTAATTTGAGGTTTTATAACTAGAACGAGTATAAATTTGTTTACTACTTAAAACATTTTTATAAAACGAAACAGAAATTTTAGTTTGCTCAGTGTGAATTTGAAAAATATAGTTTTTTTTAATTCAACTACATTCAGTCAAAGACACACACACCTAGGAACAATTTATAATCCATACATTTAAATGTACCTAGTATAAGTATTTTATAAGTTAAGTCCAGCCCGTCATTGAAAAGAAACAAAAAAAATACTAATCCATTTACAAAATACTACAAGAGTTCTTCTCTCTGTACGGATTCACCTTTTGGCTGGCAAACCCATTCAGCAGGCAATCTTCACCCTCATGCTCCAGCACATACTTCATCATCAGCTGGCAGGCTTCAGACACCTGTATGCGCGGAACAACCGCTTCGCGACGCAGCTGTTCGTTGATACTGCGCTGCTGTTGTAGGTTAGCAGCCATAATGTCCAGTACGGCAGTCTCGGCGAGCCCTATGTTGCTGATGCCTTGCACACACTTCAAATGTTTAAGCAACTGGATTTGTACGTATGTATGTAGAGATTTTGGCAGGTGTTTGGGTATCACTTGAGGCACGGCTCACATGCACAGGAAGCCTCGGCTAAACGTGGATTGTTGTCCAACAAAATGCAACGAATACTGTGGGGTGGGTGGTTGGAATGGTAGGTTAAAGGGTTGTACCGCCGTAAAGTATGCTACGATTTTCAGCACTGATATGTAATTTTGGCACTAGTTTGGTATTTTATCTGAAAATTAAACTATTAATAACGGGCAATAAACAAAAATTTTCTAATTGGTTTTACTGAAAACACACGAGTGCTAACTTACGTTGGAATGTTGAGCTCTCTCGTTGGCTGCACTTGGTGGTGTGCACAAATTTTGAGAGCGGGTAAGGAAGTCCTAGAAAATCAATCAAATACATTACCGCTATTAGCAGGTAGATGGTGCCATTGAATTTTTAACGTGCATTACTAAAGTTGTGTTTCTTTGGCAATGATCGGGATCCGGATACAAAAAATTTGCCCGCAAATGCAACAACAACCATATGATCCTGATAGCGATCTGAAGGTCCATTCTCGTTCTGCGTTATTGTGTAGTGATAAAAATAAAACTTTCACACCGCAATTATTGAATTTTTGACTTTTCACATAGAACGTAAATCTATAAGAAGCGTCAAAGAACGTAAATGTATTGATTTACGTTCTTTGGTTAAAGTGAGACAAATTTCAAGATTATCCTTATAATCTTGAATACTTATACATAACTTTACTCCACATCACAACTTCAGAACGATTATTTTCGTAAGAGTGTCGACAATTCTTGAATTTTGATCAATTATTGATCGATAAGCGGGTTAAATAAAAGTACTTTTTTCTCCCTTTTAATAATTTTTGTTGCAAAATATCCCTCAAATAGGGAAATTACCCATATCTGGCATCACGGTTTACATGTTGCCGTTCACAATAAATGTTACCTACTGAGAATGATCACTTTTAAGTTAAATGTCATTTTCATGCGCGTGTTTGAGGTTAAAATCGGCAATTTCTCAACTTTTCATTCGGTTTATTTCTCAACGTTGTGATTCCAAAAATCTGTGAACAAAAATGGCTTTATCCGTACCAAAAGCTCCAGGAGTCGCGCAAATGCTAAAGGATGGCGCCCGGGTAAGATAAAATATCACATAAATATAGAAATTTTGCTTGTAGCTCAATTGAAGAAGCGACTGCGCTATCAAAAAAAATGGGCAGCGTGCGGCTTCTATATCTGCGACATTTATTAGTCACCGCAGCGTGTGATAAATTTACATACAATTTTTTAAATCATTATTTAGTTTTACAAAAATGTACTCATGCTCTTAATTCGTTATAACAGATGTACAGTGGTCTAGAGGAGGCCGTCTATCGTAACATCACTGCCTGTAAAGAATTTGCGCAGACAATGCGGTCCGCCTACGGTCCCAACGGCATGAACAAAATGGTCATCAATCACATTGACAAACAATTTGTAACCAGTGATGCTGGCACCATCATGCAGGAATTGGATGTAGAACATCCAGCGGCAAGACTCATTGTCATGGGTAGCCAAATGCAGGACGCCGAAGTAGGCGATGGCACTAATTTCGTTGTTATCTTTGCGGGTGCACTACTTGAAGCTGCCGAGGAGCTCCTACGGTTGGGTATAACTACCTCTGAAATTGCTGATGGTTATGAGAAAGCTTTGGAGAAAGCATTGGAAATTCTTCCTAAACTTGTATGCCATGAAATTGAGGACTACCGCGATGTGAATAAAGTCACTGAGTGCCTTAAAACAGCTATAATGTCAAAACAATATGGACAGGAAGATTTCCTTACCGAACTGGTAGCAAAGGCCTGTGTTGCGATACTACCAGACCAAGGCACCTTTAATGTAGATAATATCCGTGTTTGCAAAATTTTGGGCTGCGGACTGAATAAATCTGAAGTCGTACATGGTATGGTGTTCAAACGCTATGTCGAAGGTGATGTCACTTTTGCGGAGAAAGCCAAGGTGGCAGTATTCTCATGCCCAATCGACATCATACAGACAGAAACTAAAGGCACTGTATTAATAAAGTCCGCTGATGAGTTGATGAATTTCTCTGCTGGTGAAGAGAGTTTACTTGAGGCCCAAATTAAAGGACTTGCCGATGCCGGTATTAAAGTGGTCGTCTGCGGCGGCAAAGTGGGTGATATGGCCTTACATTTCATAAATAAATACAATCTGATGGCTGTACGTTTGAACTCCAAATTTGACTTACGCCGTTTAAGTCGCACAGTAAATGCCACTGTGCTGCCGCGCATCACCACACCCACCAACGAAGAGTTGGGCTACTGCGATAAAGTGTGTGTTGAAGAGCTGGGCGGCACCACTGCTGTGGTTTTTAGGTAGGCAATTTAAAAAATGTATTTCTTATTTAGCAAAACGATCTACCGGCACTTTTTTCAGGAACGAAGGCAAGGATGCCCGTATTTCCACCATTGTCATACGTGGCGCCACCGACAACTTCATGGATGACATTGAACGTGCTGTGGATGATGGTGTAAATAACTTCAAGGGCTTGACGCGTGATGGACGATATGTGCCTGGTGCTGGTGCCACTGAAATCGAATTGGCCTCGCAACTGGCTATATATGCTGATACCCTACCCGGCCTAGAGCAGTATGCTGTGCGTAAATTCGCAACCGCTTTGGAAGCATTCCCAAAAGCTTTAGCTGAAAACTCTGGTGTGAATGGTACCGATGTTGTAAATGCGCTGTATCTTGCACACAAAAAGTCCAGTGGAAAGAATATTGGCTTCAATATTGAGACCGAAAAAGCAGATACTATCGATGTGACTAAAACACAAATCTACGATCTGTTTCAAGCGAAATACTGGGCCCTGAAATATGCAGTAGGTGCTGCCACTACAATTCTAAAGGTCGATCAAATTATAATGGCGAAACGCGCTGGCGGACCAAAGCCTCGACAGGCCGCGGGCAGCGATGATGAAAGTTAGATTGCCTTAGCAAAGACGTCGGCGTTGGATAAGATCTGCATTCATTTATCACGTATTACCATTTCTCATATTAAAACGTACATAATTTACTTAGTTTTCAGCTACTTACACAATTTGGAAATAACGTTTATAATTAACTAAACAAGCGTTATTCGTATATAGATAAAACTTTTCCATTAGTTCGTTTTTTGAGTGTTTTATAAATCACTGAAACTTTGTAAGCAACACATTTTGGAGCATTACTCTTTCAAGTTGGCTACAGCTTGAAGCAACAGAATAATAAATTAACACAAAAAAACTTATTAGTTGCAGTACTAAATTTTTTATTATAAACATACATATGTGGTTCAAAACGGAAAAAGTGTACTATTTAAGAGAATGTGGTTCTCTTTAGATACATTTAACGGATGTTAATTTTGGCCGTTCGGACCAGAGGGAGAGGGGTGTTAGTTGAGTCGGATTGAGCTGGCATGTAAAGAGGTGGTTGGTGTCGTGGGGGGACTCTCCACATGCCGGGCACTCATTGGGGATATTGGGGTCGAGTCTGGACAGGTAGCTGTTAAGGCGGCTACAGTATCCAGACCGTAATTGAGCCAGGGTAACGCGGGTCTCTCGTGGCAGTTGAAGCTCCGTCTCTTCTACAGGTGGTGATTGCGCTCGTATTACGGCATTCATAGGTCGAGAGTCGAGGTAGGTAGTAACTGACTCTCTATGAATGTCGTTGATTGCTCGTCTGTATGTCGTCGGGTCCAATGGTTGGTCTACGTACTGTTGGACTGCGTCCTTGTACACGAATAGGTGCCCCCTGACGTGCCTGGGCGGAGGCTCCTCCTGAAGCAACGGTCTGTTAGGGT